AGTACGCAGCCCACTAAAAAAGTTAATGTTAGAATACGCATTTTTTTACAAATGAGTCTTGCTTAACTTCACTGGACCACAGCTGAAACAAACTACTTGCCCACGCGGTCATCACACGCGCTTTATATAGTTCAGTTTCAGAACTAATTATTTTTTAAAAGATAAGAGTATTAAGGTACGATACAAAATACGAACGGTTCACGCATGAATATGTAATGTAATAAATTAATTATGATTTAATAGGACACGTGTTTTTGATGTTTTGATATTCATACAATACATAGTATATTGGCTTACTACGCAATTCATCATAATAAATAATTCTTGCAAAGAGGTAAATATTTTGCTAATTAAATAGTTAAATTTTTGTTTTTTTTTTGCTACGGGCTCGAATTAATGGCATCATTAATTGTAGCTCGAATTTTTGGTTGTGCTTATAATGTAAGCTCGATTGTTGGAAAAACGTCATAACTAAAAACAAAAATAAATGCGGGAAAAGTTTTTAAAAGATCTCAGTAAGATTTTTCCTCCTTATGTTTCCAGATTATTATGATATTCTTTCAACAAGCGTCTGATATGTATCCTGATAACAGTTATACGCACTCAAAAATTCTATTTACTCAAAGAGGTTTTTGAACTTTGTTTACATATCGCGAACCGTCTTCAAAAGAGTCAAAACTCAAAATAATACGTTCGTTCGAAAATGCGAAAAACTATTTTGTAATTATAACATAAATTTCCTCCAGCTTTTGCTGAAAGCTAAATAAAAGCTCTGTGTACATTTTTAGCGCATAATTTCAAAAATGCTAAATTTTGAGTTGTGACTCTTTTGAAGACGGTGTGCGATATGTATAAATGAGTTTTTTTCAACCGTAATTTGAGTTTTGCCCTAATAATTTTTTACTTTGTTTGTCTGCTATGTATGTTCGAATCGCCACAGTAGCACCCCATGTACGAATGCCCACTTAGGTCTATAACAGAGGTGACGATGTTCTGCGCATCCCGTAATTTAGTGTGACGGCATTCGTAAAGGAGTCTCTGAATGTTCCAAAACAAAACGCGCAGTGCCAACAGGAAGACACCTTATGCTTTAGAGCTGAGCTCTCGGTGCCTATTTTGAATAAGCATCTTTCAGGCGGAATCTTTTGTTGTTTTAATTCATCTTATGCTTCATATATTCATAGTACTATGAATATGCCATCGACCTGTATGCAGAGATAAACTTACGTAGACGAAAAAATTTATTACATACCTTGATATGTACTCGTACACTAATATCCGCTTTCTGCCACGTCACAAGGCTATCGCAGGCATGAGCAAATAGTCTAGGCAGAGAAGCAGAAGAGCAACAACTCCAATTTCCAAAAAGAGCGCTCAAGAACAGGAGGAGAGAAGTGAACGAACAGCACTGGCTTTGCTTTGCACTAGGAAGATAAAACCAACAGACAGGTTAGGTTAGGCAGGCTAGTCAGTGCCTAACTTCATGAACGGCTGCCCAATACAATCTGCATGAAAAGTAGGGATCTTCGGGGTCACTATGAGGTTCTCAAGCCACTCCGCTATCCGGCTCACAGACATTATGCTACCGAGATTATCCTTCTACAAGCCCATCAAAGTTAGAAATCCTGAAAGGGACTGCTATGAAGCGATAATTTCTATGATAGACGAAGGATCCCAAGTATGGTATACCGACGGATCTACGATGGACAACTGGAGTACTGGAGCAAGTGTACCAACCAGATTTCAGGCGAAAGTCTTCGCAACCGAAGTCTGTTTTTGCGATTGTCTTCGTAGAAGGATAAATGGGGACATAATTAATATTATGTCGGATAGTCAGGCAGCGTTTAAGGCCTTAGGCTCATTTAGAACAACTGTAAAACTCTTTTGAACCACCTGTGAGCCCACAATAGCGTAACGTTATGGTAGGTCCCGGGACATGAAGGATTTGAAGGCAACGAACGCAAAACGTGTGGACCAAATGCGCGTTCATCTTTTCTGGGGTACATGTAGAGGATACGCCGCAGAGCTACTTAGTAACCAGAAAGAACTGCTGCCCACCAGCGGAAGTCAAAGGAAATGATACAATCAAAGAGATTCGTAGCTCCTTCTAGGAGGAACTCCGAAAGGCTCCTTGAACTTAGTCGGGATGGTCTTAGATCTCTTACTGGCTATCTGACAAGACATTGAAAGTTAAGGTACCATTGACTGCAGGTTGTGATGAGTTTTGAGGATAGAAAAAAAACGAGCCAACCATTCCATTCCGGCCTTAGATTCGAATCCAGTCTAGTTCGTCACTCACTGATTAGAGGTGCGTACTACCACGCCGTGGGACCTGGGTTTGATCCTTGATGTGAGCAACATTTAAATCATATGGAGATTTTTCTAACAGTGGTCGCTCCTCGGGTGCCAGTGTCAAACATTCCGAGTGTATTTCTACATTCAAATAGCTTCTCATAAAAACCATTTGCCGTTCGGAGGCGGCGTAATTTTTTAGGCCTCTCTATTTGTATTATAGCATACTACCCACACCGCAACTTTGAGAAGAAGCTCGGCCAAACACTTAGCAAAAGTGTAAGCGCCAAAATATTGTTAATATTATGAATACTTGGAAGTATTTACGTATAACGTCACCAAGAAAAAAATAACAATTTCTTTGACCGTCAAGCGTTATTAAAAAATAATCACCAAATTTTTAGTCGCTGCATCCAGAGTAAAAAATTGGGATCGTTTTTTTTTTTACTTTATATCATCTAAAATTCTGATATTATAGTATGAGTGTCGTTGATCTTTTGAAGCTAAAAAGTGAAAAGGGAATTCTCACTTCAAATTATTTTTATGTAAATTCTTTGGTTACCTGCCCAAACTGGTACATGTATGTATACTTAACAGCCCCTCTCTCTCTCTCTATTAATTTTCGGCCGAAGAGACACCTTCCATTAAAAATCTTCTGTTTGGCCTTTTTAACCGACTTCAAAAAAAAGAGGAGGCTATCGATTCGTCGGAATTTTTTTTATGTTTGTTACCGCATAAATTTGGGCCACGTTAACCGATTACTAGAATTCTATTTTTAGAGGAAAGCTGGAACCTCAGGTGGTCTCATACAAATTTGGTTTAGATCCGATCATTGGATCATGAAGAAATTAACGGTATTCTTAAATTTTCATATGAGAATTGAAGTCGGTTTTGTTTTTTTGCTTAAAAATTAATTGTTTCCTTATCAAGACTTTAGAAAATGTAACAAAACATGTTGTTAATAATTTTAACCTCAGTTTTTTTAAACTAAAATAAAGCAATCAATTATCGCAGTTTTTCTAACATTCACGGCTTTAATTCAAATATCTCAATCAAAGATTTTACAATTTCACCTACTCCCAGAGTTTCTTTTACTTGCCACCTTCTCCACCTGCTTGTCCGCCGGCTCCAGCTCCTCCACCCATGTTAAATCCAAATCCAAAACCGCCACCAGCACCAGCGCTACCACCACCTCCGCCACCTCTTTGTGCCTCACGACGATAACGGCCTTCTATGCCTTTATTTCCGGATGGATGAGGCATTGGGGCCGATTGTGGTCCGCCCTGAGCCTTTGCAGAGTGCTGAAAAAATAAGACAGTAGTCTATCAATCGATGGCAGTTGACGAGAGCAGTGTTACATCCGCGGGAAATTCAAATAGTCACTGACTTTCCAAATTGCCCTCGTAATTTTACTAGTTAAAAATTTGAAATTAAAGCAATCGTAGTAATCCTTCCGTGCACAGATTCGAAATTTGGACTTGCTCCGAACTTGTATACTTAAAATTTGTTTATAGTGCGGTGAGGATATTTTTATACTGATCAGAATATTTTTTTGTTTTACATTTTAAATTCCACTTACCAACATCACTGCCAAAGCGCAGCAAACCAAAGCGATTACTATAAGACCTCGCATGATTTTAGAACAACTTCGCTATAATTCCTTCGATTGAATACTAGATACTTGCCAAATTATCAACCAATACTCACTATTTATAGTTAGTACTGCTTTCAAATTGAAATTTCTCACATTAAAAATTTTAATTCATAAAAATAATCTCATGCAATAATCGGATGTGCGCATATTTTCATTCGACATGCAATGCAAAATTTATTTTTGACGACCAAAAAAAAATTCGATGATATTTTGTGATAGTGATAGCAAAAAGTGATAAACAAAAGCGTTAACAAATTAAACAAATTTTGTTAATTTTTCATACCGATAGGATTTTTTCTACAAGAACCTATAGTTTTTCGGTTTGTTGGTAATGCATAGAAAACCGGTTCGCCGGAGGAAAATTGCAAAAACCGATTTCTTCAGTCAATGATAGAAAAATTACTCGCGTCTGAGTTAAGATAGTTTGTCTCACGGCACTGAGTTAGCACAAAGTTAAGATATTTCATCGTGTTGAGATAGTCTTTCGAACAGCCTTCAAGATAGGATAGATCGATGGCTATCGACCAGTTGAAATATAGTAGGCCGGGGTCATCGATATAATAAATTTAGTTTTTTTTTATGGAAACGCATATTGACGTTTTTGCAATTAAACAAATTAATTATAAAATCGGAGGTTTAGCTCATGGCATTTTCCGTTCTATGAACAAATTTAGAATTTCCATTGTCCTTTTTTATGGCACAACTTTTTCTATTACTTAGATGTTGCTCGGACCAGAGATCGCTGCTAGGTCCTATTGG